ACGTTATTTAAATTTTAACATACATTTTATTAAATTACAAAATATATACAACAGTTGTAAAATCTTTGAAAATTGAAAAATACCTGCATAAATTATAAAACAAAAGCGTTAAATAAGTCAGTTAATCCTAAAAATGAGACATCAATCATTTCTGATGCCTAGCTAACAAAATTATAGCAAATAAGGTTTGGTTGATGCCTATGATTCCGAATGTAGTCTTGCAACAGGCTATGGAATATTGTATTATCGAAAATAAGATACAATGCATTTTAGAGTATATAATAATATGATTTACACAATAATAGTTGTTAGGTTGGACAGTAAATAAAAACAAATTTGTTTTCACAAATTAAGAATATAAATACATAAATATATTGTTATCTGCTTTGTTGTACTTTAAAATTTAAAAATAAAGTGATATAAGTTTTTCTTATTTTACTTTTTCAAGTGTACTTTTGAGACTTGAGGTCTGAAAATTAGACTGTCGGTAGAACAAGAGTAGCCCCGAACACTTACAATTGTCTAAACATTTTGAAGCCGAAATTTTTTTTTATTAAGTTATAATTACTATAAAGATATCAAATTTTACTTTCAAAAAAACGCTTTGTTGCGATAAAAAAAAGGAAATAATAAATTTGACTGTACACGTTTGAAGGTCTATTTAAATATCATCCATCACTCACTATGCTCTGTCCCCACTATGTTCCAACCCCACTTTAGTGTAGTTTTCTCCACTCAGTGTGGTCGTACTGGTTTTCGCCCTTCTGTTTCTACACTACCGTATACAAGCTATAGTATTTTATGTAAGTTATAGTTCGTCTCTTTATATCATTAGGGGTACTCTATGGTCGGTACCATAAATAAATTGTATTTGAAACATAATACACTGTGTCATTTATTTCAATAATAAACCATATAATACTACATTGTAGATTGAAACAATATATTTTATATCATAATATATTATTGTTATCGCGAAAGACAAAAATCTCAATCACTAAAAATGTAAATAATACAGGATATCTCAAAAAGAATGGTGGGGTTTCAAACGGCTGTGGGTTGTGAAGTGTTGGACCTACAGCGCTCTGGTAGGGCTTGAATGAAAGAGGGAGTTGACAAATTTCGAATGACTGCCACTAGATGTCTCTCCACGTTGCCGTTTGTGTCGCCAGCCTTCATTGTTCAGTTTGTTAAGATGGCGTAATTCAGTTACTATGGTGAAACGTCTAGTGGCAGAGACATCTAGTGGCAGTCATTCGACATTTGTCAACTCCCTCTTTCATTCAAGCCCTACCAGAGCGCTGTAGGTCCTATACTTCACAACCTACAGCCGTTTGAAACCGCACCATTCTTTTTGAGACACCCTGCATTATACAATCTGTTGACTAATGAGCGTGTAACGATTTGTCATAAAATGCCAGTTATAAAGATAGACCGCCCAATATACACTGTTTGGCAACCTAATTTCGGACGCAAACCCATATTGACAGCTATGGATTCGTTGCGTCCATTTGGTTATCAAAACTGTTGCCGTATCTCATGTGCTCGTGGACTATGTATGCATATTAATCTATGTCGATACTATAATTATATTTTCGATAGTATTACAATGAAATAAAAGAAAACGAGAGTGTAAAATCGGCATGTGAGCATTTAATTCTATTGTTTTTTTTCCGTGGTCTACTATTTTGTTTGTTCGTTGTAATAACATGTAAGCCACATTTTGAATTTTGTACAATAATCTAGTACCTTGTTTAAATTAAGTGACAAAATATTGCTCTTGCGTTTGTTTCGAGACTTTATACTTGTGTTGCTAGCGTGCAAATCTGATGTGTTTGTTATTTACATTATTTATATCATATTGTTTGGCGGTGATTTTGATCTATAGCGATATTTTGTCAAATGGACGAACCGATTACATGTCGTATTTGCTATGACGGTAAGTGAAGCTGATGTCTCAGCTTTAATATAAACAATATTATCTTCTCAAAGTCGTCTTACCAACATTTTTGAATAGAAAAAAAACGGGAAGTGACTATCTCGCCATGCAAATGTACGGGTTCAATAGGTCTGGTGCACGTGTCCTGTTTAAAACGCTGGCTGACCAAATCCAACGATAACGGTTGTAGCGTGTGCGGTTACCAATTTCACTCCGACGAACACGTAAGATCCGACCGCCAAAACGTTAAGTAACAGTTTGATTGAATGGTTTGAAATAAATAGATAATTGCAAAAAAAAAAAAAAAAGTGGTCAGGATAGAAGAAAGTAAGGAGTGGATCCGGTGGAAATATATTGGATAAGTTAATGAAAATAATTATAGGTATGCACATTGAGTTTGAAAATTTCCTAGATTAGAGAAAAGAGATTAAAGTTAAGAGACGGTCCAGCTGGTTGCTGGAGGTGAGGCAAGGGATTAGAGATGAAACATTCGATATCAGAAAGTACCAGGGTCCTATACTTGTACATATTAAGACACGTCCATGTGGAGTAACGCCCACACTTTTTGTTCATCAAATGGTCGTTTTCAGCGTTGGCTTCGGGAAGAAAAGACATGTATGAGCAGAGCCATAACACTCACAGTCAGGGTGACTTTGTTAATGACTTTTGTAACAATCGTCTTCAAAACCTACCACAGCTTCTGTTAGCCGTGATCGGGTAAGGATTAGTTTTGTGATATAATAACATGAACACTCTGAAAACATGACCAGACCTACCTATTAATCGGTTTAATATTGTCTTCCAGGCAGGGATTTGCATTGGTAAACGAACGGGCGATAATAAGACATTATTATCCATTTAACAACAAGCATACTTCATATTGTAATCGTAATCGTGGAATATTGTGTACAAAAAAAAAAACACAACATAAGGTTTGTGAAATATAATTTATTTAATTTTTTTTTTTATTATAATAATTTTAATAAAACATATTTCCTTCGTTTTTATATAACCGCAAGAATATTTTTGTAACCAAAAGTGGTTTATATTTGTTTTTAGAACGTGCCTTTTTGATGTTACTCTGTCATTTGGATTGAAAATCAGCTGGAAAACGAAACCGGTTAATTTTTTAAATATTTAACGCTTACCAGTATTAATAAGTACTTGATCGTTAATAATTAATCTAATGAGTATACATTACTGTTGGTGTTATTTGCTTTTATTAAACTACATATATATATTTATATATTGTATAGTAAAACTCGCTGCTGTAGTATAAATGAAATCGCACTTAATTATTTTATAGAATAGTATTTGACACGAGAAAACCAATTGTTGAGACAAATAAATTGCCATCAAATACGGTTTTGCTGACAGTTACAAAAAAGTCGAAACAAACGCTCAAATTGACAAATTATCTCGAATTGATTTTTGTAAAAAATAAACTTTCATTGGGTATATACATACATAATGTTTATAATATTTATCGAAAACAATAATTTTATTACCTAATTAATTTTTAGATTAAAAAAAAATGTTAATATTAAAATCTGATATTTTGTTATTTTAGCGGATTGCCAATATATTAAAGTTTAATATTTTTAGCATCATTAGGTATTTCTTATTAAACTGCACTAGGACGATGAAAAATATGAAGTTAAGCAAAGAAACTAATTAGTTCAATTAAAAATAACTACATATTGAGTTTTTTTCAAGTTCATATAAAAATATGTTAACTAACCGACCACCTTGAAAATAGTACATTATTTTTTATTCAACCACAAAGTTTTTCAGATTTGTCGAGATAAATCAACGTAGGCTTATATTTTAAATGGTATTATCTTACCTAAATATGTTTTGCTCGAGTGCATTTATTTGTGAAGATAAAAGCACATTTTAAATTTCCTACTGCTCAGAAAAATTAGCGTCCTAGTAAGAGGCCGCCATAATGTGAATAGCTATTGTTTTTTTCATGATCTATCAAATGTATTATGACGGTGTAATCCAAGAGTTAAAAAAAGTGGCACTCAACGTACCTTAGTTCTTATTTGTGTTTTTTTTTTTGTGTCAACATCTCCAGAGTTGAGGTAAAAACATATCCTAAGAACTTTAATGCTCGAGGATTTGTGTAATGCACCTAGGACGTCCCCAGAGAGCCAAAAATCTCATTTGTGTCGGTTAGGACATTTGACTACTTGGCACCACGGTTACTTAGCAACGCGTTTGGAATTTTCAATAAAAATCGTTTCATTGTGTATTTGAAACAATGCGTATGGACACTTTAGTCGAATAATAAGGAACGTACACATGTCGTTTCATGTTTAAAAAGTTTCGGCCGTTTTTCAACGTCGTGTCCCACAACACATGTCGACGGTCAACGCTCAACGCGATTGCACCGTCTTTGCTGAACTTTGCAATGAACTTCCGACCGGTGGGTTCGAAATCGTGGCACAGTTGCAGCGAATTCGTCCTAGCCATCACCACTCCTAATCTTAGTTTTGTGTTTGACAAGGATTTGGTCAATATCAGCCAAAACAACATGTTATCCGCGGTCTCCACCATCGACACACTGCGGTTCCTCGCGTAACACACCGACTGCAGATTGTCGATTGCGTACGTGCTGCTCGTTCTGGAAGAACCCTGGTACCCGTATTTATCTCGTAACCTATTCATTTGACCCCCGGCCCAAAAACAGAAAGTAAGTGTACTGAGTCGGCCGCCAAGTGCGAAATCCTCGCTAAATTCGCGAAATCGAGCGCAGACCTCCTGAGAGTTTTTGATAACGCTATGAACTGGGGAGTGATGAATTTTTGCAAGTGTATTGTTACCGGAGATAAAACTTAGGTTGCACATTATACGCCTGAACCCAAGACACAGTCCGAACGGTGTGGCATCACCCCAGTTCATAGCGTTCCAAAAACTCTTTGGAGGTCCGCACTGGATTTCGCGGATTTCGCGGATTCCTGTGACCGTCATTTTAACGTGCTGAACTCGTGTATTTTTTACGGCCACGAGAGCCTCAGTACACACACTTTCTGGACATGCCTCGTGCATGGCCATGTTAACACACGTAGACAACAACACTTACCGTCGCCCGGACCGTTATACCGGGATGCTTGTGCGTCACGTGGTCGCGCAGATTGTCGCAAACGGGATCCGTCCACCGACATCCCGGATAGACACAGCACACGGGTTTGTACATGCACCGGGCTTCGTGTTGGCCGAGGTTGGCCACGCGCACCAACACGCGGCAGCCGTCCGCGTGATGGCGGCACGTGACGCGGCGGAACTCCAACGTTTTGTTCAACGACACCGGTTGACGTTTGACGCGATACGCCCGACACACGGGGCAACGGTTGTTTCTCATGTGTCTAAAGCAAGCCACGCACACCACGTGGTTCATCGGGCACGCGTGCGTCATGGGATATTGCACCGAATAACATATCGGGCATTCCAGCTTGTAACGAACGTCGCGGGCCGTTTCGATTTCTTGAACGTCGGTCGACATTTTCCACGCTCTCGATGGCAAACGCTTTTTCTTCGCAGCAGCCGCTACAACAGCGCTACCGAGTTGGTTTCTCCGTGCCATGATACCAGTGTTTAACACAAATGACACAATAATAACACACATCACGGGCGACCCGGGATTTTCAACATTTTATTACAAGCCAAATACAGTAGAAATAATAATAACCATTCGCGTTTATCAATAGTTTTTATAACGTCTTGTTATTTATACATATTCGAAAAAGAAAAGAAAAACGTTAAGGGAGCTACAGACCATTTTTAAGGAGTTTTGTATAGGCAATATTTAAGAAAAAATTGGTTATTAATATAATATACATTTTTTGTTCCATCGCACAGGCTCAACCAGTGATCCGACAAGTAATATGAAAACAGATTTGAATTTTTCATGAAATTTACTTGAGATCGGTCGACGTACTTTTTTGATATCTTATTCCTACTATGTATAAAACACGTTTGAACATTTTATAAAATTTCAACATTTTAAAATAAAATTTAGAAAGGGTTAAAATTAAAAATTGAAAAAAGTACCTCGACCGATCCTAAGCAAACTTCATGACGAATGCAAATCTGTTTTTAGAATGCTTATCGGATCACTGATTAGGCCTGTGCGATGGAATGAAAATGATGTGTTTTGACTGAAAAAATGGTCTGTATGGAGCCCCCTTAAAATACATTATTTGAGGAATGAACACCCCCCCCCCCCCGGTGGTTCTGAGTATTTTTGCAGTTATTATTACTGATAGTCTAATATCTAAACAAGTTTACTGTTTAGGTCGAAGACATATCGTGATATATAAAGTCTAAATATTTTACTTACGTGGCTCTTTTCTAAACCAGAAATTTGCTGTTGGTATAATATCGCCGTACGCCTTCCTATACCGTATTTTATTTTAGTCAGTTTTGACACACCGTTTTGCCTGAATTTCCGGTGGTGGTTCCCATCCATCGGATATCTCCTGTTGGAAAAAATAAAAAACATGTTTATATCAAACATTGTTCGCAAATAGTTATTAGTTTTTTAAATACCGTAGGAGAAACTTTTCTACGGTAACGTCTCGAGGAAGTTTAGTTGGCGCTGCCGGTAAATATTTATGACCAAAGTAAATGTTTTGCTTTAAAACTAAAATAAATCCCTGAAAAGATTTATAAAATGCAGTCAGGTAATGTTATTTTGGAACGCTTATATACCAACATTTTGGTAAATCCATTATATACAATGATTGCTCTTTCTATAGAGTAGGAATATGTTATTTATTTATTATTGGGAGGAGGGGAAATTATATTGATTTACACAGATTCAGATTATTCGCAATTTTTTTTTTTTAATTTAACAATCATTTTCCAGCAACCAATGAATATATTTTCATCATCCAGCATCAAATAAATAACCTCCTCCTTTTTAAAGTGGAATAAAAAAAAACAATTACTAGACGAAAAATGTAAATATAAATATTATTTTTATTACAAAATCATATCATGTACAATCTTAAACATTAGACGATTAAGATAAGACAATTACAGGAAAAAAAGGAACGTTACAGATCATAATAATTGTATTGACAAAAAAATATATATAAGATTCTTAATAAGATATTTTTAAGGAAAAAAATGTATTTTAACAAAGAGATCTAATAAGTAGGATTAGTTTAGTTAACGTACTATTAATACTAAGACTTAAGATTAAAAAATTGTAATTGTTATAATACTAACTTGGTGTAAAGGCGGAATGTAAGTAAATCGATAAATGTCATGATATAATAATAATACCTAATATAATATTATGGAATAAGTAAGTTAGTTTAATAAGTTAGAATAGTGGTTAGCAAAATTACAAATGGCAATGGAGAAACTACTAATTAAACGTTATACGGTTCATAGTTTGTTTGGGTGATTGAAATCTATAGGCAATTAAAGTAAAAAAAATGAAAAATAATAAACAGTTTTATCAATAATAATTTACTTGAGGTCGGGGGAGGAGGGGAGGGTTAATGCCTAGATCATAACAGATTTTTATATATTAGTTTTGTAAAAAAAAGATGAGTTCACAATATTATAATATGAGTAAGCCGCAATGTTCTGGGTAACAATGTAAAAGTATTATAATGTCTCAGTCGTAAGCAATATTATTAAAAAATATAAAAATACAAAATAAAGTAATGAGTAAATTATAAAAATATATATAAATCTTATGCGTAATGTTAATGTACTGTCGTTTTACTTGTTTTGATCCTGTCGTTATTATTTTACAACAAATTAACTATACTATAGATTACATAATACAAATTTTTACAAAAAAATACTTTACAATATTGTCGTGCCACCATTTTAACAACAACAATTAATGAAGCAAATCTTTACTTAACCGTTTTAAAACACAATATAATTAAATACATAATATCTAAATGTCAGTGATGTTAATTTACTTCGTTATTGCAATGGTTACACATAAAAAGGGCAGTACAGTAATATCTAAAAACTAAAGGAATACATATACATACACTTTGATTGAATACTATAAGCCGTTATTTAAAAAAAAATAAGAAAAAGAATGAGATTTAAAAATTAAAAAAAAAAAAAAATCTTGTACAATATTCTTAAATCGAACAAAGGAAAATCAAATACACTTCTACTATTGGTTGACTAGTTAACACTTTTTGATTTTTATAGTCAGATTTAAAAAAAATAAAAACAAAATAAGTAATTTTAACAAAACATGATAAAATATCTTTTCCTTTCGGTAGTGCAAACGATTAAAAAAAGTGTCAGACGAGAAATAGAAAATATCATAATTTACGCTTACAAAAATGTAATTCTCATACGAATAACCGAGAAACAAGTCTGTTGTTTTTAAAGTTTTATATACATAAGTATATATATTATATATAATACTAAAATAATAATTATTATTATCTTAAAGGCGGCAAATTTCATTTTTATACTTTTGTCTTTTTGTACTTTCTGAACGAGTTTGTTAATAAAAAACATAAAAGTGTAGTTGTCGCATACGACTAACATACAAATCTTAACTAAACAATAAAGACGGAACGAAGGCTTAACACGATTAATACATAATAAAGTCTTTGATTAGTTGTACGATTTTAATTTTTTTTTTTTAATTTGACTTATCACAAAATCACTTTTTGCACTGAATATATTTCGGAGAACACTAAAATGTATAATACACGTTTGACGGTGAAGTAATTTTAGAAATATAATAATGCATAACGCGAATGGAATATAAGAAAACTCGTAGAGTAAAAATAGTATTAATACTAAAAAAAAAAAAGAAAAATATAAGTCTACATTTAACATGTCAAATCTCAATATTTAAGGAACATTCTAAATTAATTTAAAGTAATAGCGAAACAAAACCCATAAGTCATAAATATCGTATCTTAACTAACTCGACTCAAACTCGCAGTACTTGAGAAAAGGACTGTTGTCGTAAGAATATTTTTCTCGTAATTTAATGATTAAGCTTAAATCAAATATAAAAAAAAAAAATATATTATAATGGAATATATAAAAAAAATTAATATTTTCAAATACCAGAGCTGGCGGCCTACAAAAGTTCACTCTTTTCATCAGAGATCAGTCTTTGCAATAGTCACTATCGAATACTGTACAAAATTATTATAATACAAAAAGTATTATGTTTAAATGCAAAAAAAAAAATGTAAAAAATTGATTTCCGACCATAACAATGTGGTCGTAATAAGTCGAAGTGGAATTCCGTTAACACTGAAATTCGGACGCGGTGATCGCGTTCAAGTCTTTCATCAATCCTTCCAGATTGGCCATTTCTTGATTTAGTTCTTCGGTGCTGTACGACGTCTGCAATAACAACACATCGTAATGTTTCACATTAAAATATTCAGATCGTTTACACATATTTATTGTGTTAAGCTAACAAGGAAAAGATGGCCATTGACCAAAGTTAGCTGGCATCGTATAAGTTACCTGTATTTTGCTAAGGGATTCTACTTCAGGACCCAGGTCACTCCGCTGATTGGACTGACCGTTGGCAGTTGGCGGTTTCCATACTTTCGGAGCACTGGCTAGTGCCGACGTATTGGTCGGAGAGTTGTTCACCGTCGAATAGGTCATTGGCTTTTTGTACGGACTAGACGACCCTTGAGGTCTTACTGTAACTACAATTTTGAAAACGCCATAGACATATTATCAAGTTATACTACAATATTTGATTTTTATATCATTCATCAATTAAACAAGTGTTCGGCCTTTACCAATGTGTTTTTGCTGCGGTGTCGACGGCGCTGACTGGGGCGGCGGGGCAGGTACGCTGAAGCTTTTCAAAGGATGGCCTTGTTGTCTTTTTTCGCTAGTGTTCAACGATCCTCTATACAGATCATAATTTAATATTATAAAAATTAATACATATTTTTTTATTATAAGCTTTACGTGTGCTGCTGTAGACTGGATGTAGATGTCAAAGGAATGGATTCATATTTTTCCGGAACAGTTGTAGCTTGGACAATATAATTATTTTCAGGAGCACCTTTTTATAAAAAAAAAAAAAACAGTGTTAGAAAAAAATTTATATATATATATATTTTTTTTATTTTCAAAGTAAATAGTAAAATGTATGTGTTGTACCTGCAGTCAAGTCTACGGTAACGTGTGCTCTGGTAGTGGCATACTGAGATCTAGGAAATGGCGAGCGAGTTTCTTGACTAGGTAAGGTGGTCATAGCTGAAAATTAAATGTACACAATCAGAAATACATTTTTTTTCTCCCCATAATATTATTTTTATCTTCAGTGCAACGTCAAAAAGTATTTAAATAAAACATATCAACGTTTTATGAAATTGCCTAAAATTTCTTGTATACGTATTACTCAATTTATTGTTGTTTTAGGTATATACTTGGAATAATAAAAATTAATGTTAAAAATTCCAAATTTTATTCCCCCCCCCCCAATTAACACACAAATACCAAGAAGATTAATCAATAGGTAGCGTGCAACTCCTTTTGACTAAGCACCAAAGACATAATTACGGCAACAATAAATTAATAAACAACAAACAATAAATTAAAATTACGATAAACATAAACTTACTGTCTTTATAAACAGAATCAAAAGCATCAACGGGCAAAACAACGGGTTTGGGTTTAGAACGCTTTAGCGTGGACACTCTTTCTTCTGATAATAAAGGTTGCATTATCGAATTGCCTAATTAAATTTTGAAAAAAAAAAATGAAATTGACATGCAGAAAAACAAGTAACGTAAATAATAATTTATAAGACCCCAGAAATTAAAAAAAAAAAAAACACAATAACTGTTTAACTAAAAAATCATAATACTAAATTGCATCACATTATATGTGTGCGCCAACCAACGAGTACTTACCCACGTAAGAAGATACGTAGTTACTCTTGTCCAATGAATTGGTCGAATGCGGCACGTGATGTATCGTGACACGGGTGTCCGATCCGTCATAAGTGTTGGTGCTTCCTTGACCGCAATTTGAACTTGTATCTAACGATCCTTGAGAAGACTTTTCGATCGATTTCAGTTCCATCTGATCGTGGTGTATCCACAGATCTGGTGGCTTGATGCTCGGCGATTGAGCCGCTTTTACAGTTTTACCCGTTGAACCTTTTATATACCTTTCGTAAAAAAAAAAATTGTTTTCAATAAATTTAAATAATTGGAAAACCAATAATTTTAAACAATAATTGACTTACCCCTTTTTACTTCTATTGCTAAGCGGTTTGTTTTGCTTACAACACAACAGAGCGATTCCAACGCCAATACACGATATCAGCAACAAACAGCAAGTTATTAAGATATACAATATAGTAGTATTGTTGATTCCACTTTTGCCATCTACAAAAAATTATTTAAATATTAGTCGTTTTCTTTAATGAACTTTTCAAGAATATTAACCCACATAAGGTGCACGGTTTTCAGTCACACTTAAATTTAATGTGTTAATATCATATTGATTTTTAATACAAGTATTTTTTTTATTTTCATAGCAAGTCATGTAAAAATTATTGTTAAGACAGTAAAAAAAAAATTTTAAATACCTTTTAGCGATGTTCCATCACTGTTCAGTGGTCCAGATGCTAAAACAAAATCAAATTTTTTAGATTTACATTATGTTAATATTGCCAAATCACTGAATTCAAATTAAAAACATACCAGACAATGTTTTAATATTAATAGTTGTACTGAATGGACCGTATCCAACAGAGTTTTTAGCTTGTATTTTGAAAAAATAATTGGTACTAGGAGTCAGTCCATTCACGGTGAATGACATGAGTTCTCCTTCGACGGTTTCAGACACCCAATCGTGATCTGGGCTACTTTCATCAGTGGAATACAGTAAAAGATAAGCTAAAACAACATTAAAAAAAAAAAGTTTCAAAAATCATTATTAAGTGAAATAATATCATTGTGTATAATATAATATATATATATACTCAATGATAATATTAAATACCTACCAATGATTTGTCCGTTGGAGAATTTCGGAGGTTGCCAATTTAAGGTTATCGACTGAGGTTTATCATCGATTTTAATAGCGGTCAAGTCTCTAGGAGGCGATGCTGGTTTGGCTTCTTTAGTGTAGTTCGATACCAGCATGCTCCACTCACTCTCCAATTCACCCTACGGATATAAACACTCAGTTAATGTTGCAATAAGTTACAATAATACTTGAGACAATGTCAGAAACCGCACCTTAATTAATTTCACTGTAAACTCGTACTGTGTGTTCGGTTTCAAATCGTTAATGATACAAGACAGTTCAGTTGTGTTGACCGTTTTATACCGTACGTTGCTTGGGGCGTAAACGTTATAACGTACAACATATAAACGTTTTTCATCTTCATTTATCTGCAAATAAAATTAAATATTGATAAACATTCGAAATGTGGTATTCTTAATAATAAAAAACAAAATGTTACATCTAAATCTAGTAGAGTATTGTCAGTCCACGACACTTCGATAGCGTTCGAAGAGATAATGTTAGTTTTTAATCCTATTGGCGGAATCAATGGTTTGTTCGTTTCCAACGTGTTCATGTTACTGTCTCTTGTGGTGGCGACTTGATAAGCCAACGGACTAACACCCATGTCGTTGCATGCGGCAATGCTCACAACATACTCTGCATCGGGTTCTAAAAACAATGATGACGAGAAATTACAAACTACATCATAATTTTGGCGGAAAAACTGTTGATCGTATTACCTAGATTAGTGATTTCATACTGCCGTGATTTCGGACTCAACTTCTCTGTGTACACGTCCGGGATACCTTTACCCCACCCCAAAGTGTATTCTCTGACCATTATTGCCTTGTCTTTGGGAGGTGACCAAGTAGCCAGCAACGAGTTGGAAAACGCTCGAACTAAAAAAAAAACATTACAAAAATTATTTTAGTAATACTTATCCTCATAAAAAAAATTATTTTAATGAAATATGGTTGGTAGTAACAATACACTTTTATCTTATACAGTAAAAACAAATTTATTTTAATCACAAGTTATTTTACACACTAAATCCACTTTAGTTAACTGGCCCATGTTGATGATAAGTATAAGAAGTTTTTTTAAAAATTAAATTGAATTTATCAATTTTTTATTTAATCACTTTCAGTTTACCTTTGAAATTGGTCGGTGGATCGGGAACAGTGTTCTCTTTGAGAGTATTTTCGTACATTTCGACTGTTAACCATTCTGTGGGTGGACTTATTCCTACAGTGTTCAGAGTCCAAAGCCGGACTTGATACACCTAAAACAACAGTAAAACCACAAAAATATTAATATAGTCATTCGTACAAGTACATGATTGCTACCACCGAATTAGAAAACAACCAAAACGTGGTTAGTTTAATAATTCTCTCGAATGTGAGCATGGGCCTTAATCATAAAAATAATGCACTTTATAAAATTGAATAAGGCCTAAATATTTTACTTACAGAGCTTTTTTCTAAACCAGAAATTTGATAACTAGTAATATCTCCAGCTGTCGTTATAGTATCGCCGTACGCCTTTTTATCTCTTTTCCTATACCGTATTTTATAGCCAGTTATTACCCCGTTTTGACTGAATTTCGGTGGTGGTTCCCATCTAACGGATATCTCCTATAGGAAAAATAAAAACATGTTTATAATCAAATTTTTATAGCGTTTGCAAATAGTTATAGAGTTTTTTTTAAATACCGTAGGAGAAACTTGTTCCACGGAAACTTCTTGAGGAGGTTTAGTTGGCGCTGTCGGAGTCGTCAACACCGATACTTCTTGAGAGTTGGCTCCTGGACCATTTTGATTGTACGCTACAACCCAAACTTTATACTTTGTAAAAGTATTTAAGCCGGTGATCCCGTGCTCGGTATGTTTGGTTATTTTGTACTTTTCTTCATTAGTGTAAGTCTATTACAAAAAATAATTTATATTTTAAAGACAACTATAATACATAGGCTTGGACCATTTTCGACTTACATCGACATAGAACAATTTATACTCATTAATGGATTCGTTTCCTTGGTCAGGTTTGTTCCAAGCGACGAAAATCGAAGACGAGGAAATGGGCATAGCCGTCACGTTTAATGGAGGTCCGGGTAAATTAACTTCTGCCTTGGTCAACACTTTCAGAGTTATAGAACTTTCGCCGATACCAAACTCATTTACTGCCATTATTTTGAACAAGTACTGCTTCTCAGGGAGCAAATCCGTTATTGTGATATTTGTTTGAGTAGTGTTAGTCATACGCTCTCTACAATAGAAACAAAAATTCCTTATAGGTATATTGATGTTAACATTTAAACATTATAATATTTAAACAAACCTGTCCGATCCTTCTTGCTGATAGAAAACCGTATAGGTAAGTATATCGTCACTGTTTGATTTTAGAGGATTAATCCACGACAGTGTGACTAGCCGAGAGGATACTACTAAAGCTTGCAAAGACCTTGGGGCAGACGGTAAATTGAACTTGGAATCTTTGGATTTTTCGGCTACAGATAACGAGTCGACGGTGTCATTATTAAAATTAACAGATGAATTTGCACTAGGTAAAGAGCCTAATCACAAAACGAAAACAAAAACAAAACGCAAACAAAATAAAACAAATATCTAAAACACAAAATAATAAAAAATAATAATGATAATAGTAATGGTAATGCCGAACAAAAAAAAAAAACTTTACTTACAAAATATTTATAAGCAAAGTAAATGCTTAACTCTAAAACTAAAATAAGGCACGAGATGCAATAGTAATTAAATTGACCTTCATAATACAAATAAGAATACTTTTTCTTCAACATTACTCATTATTGTTAATCGGGTTACTTCATTTAGTAACAAGAAAAAGAATTAAAAAATAAATAAATTATAGGTAAGCAAATAGCATTAAAAAAAGTATATATATGTTATTAATTGTTTAGAACACAAAAAGGCATAAGCAAATAATACATTTTTATACAGAAGTATCATTTTTTTATTACTAAAACCATTCTCAATTAATCGATGAAGTATAACTGTTTTCTTTATCTTGAAAAGTTTAACCATAAAACAAATTTAAACGTTGAACTATTACGCAAGTAATGAATTAAGAAATTATAAAAGCTTTCGGTATTATAAAATGTTTGTTACGAATAAAAACTTAATATTGATATAAATTGTATGTACCTAATATTAAGTTTTAAAATTAATTAGTAAAAAAAAAATGATACCTTTGTATACATAAAATTACTAACATTAAGATTGCTGAGTAAAAAAAAAACAGATCAAATAAACTACCAAGTTACCTGCATGAAAAACATTTAAAAACGCCGATGATTGAATATTGCCAGCTGGATTCGACGCCAAACATTGGAACATTCCGGAATCCATTGTCATCAAACCCAATATTTTTAAATTTGTACTGCAAATAAATAGAATAAATCAATTAGTGGTACATTCTTTTTAAAAACTGTTCATACAGGCCTCATAACTACTAGATTAAACAACTTAAGTGGTGCCGTCCTGTCCACTAGCCTATATCCGGCAATCGTAACTAATTCTTTTTTAGAAACTCAGCGCTATGACAAATTCGTTTGATATACTAACCCTTTAACAAATTGTAGATACTCGTCTGGTTTAATTCGATCACCATTTTTCAACCATGTAATTCGTGGAGTCGGTTTTCCTTCGACTTCGCAATCTAATATTATATCTTCTTTTTCGACTACCATGGTGTCTTTGGGTTTCTTAATAAACTGTGGTTTGACTGAAGTAAAAAAAATAATAATAATAAAAATAACCATAAACATTTTTTGAATTCGATACGTATTTTGTAAAATAAATATCCAACTGATTTACCTTGAACTTCGAGTGTAGCAAGAGCGTCGGCAGAATCTTCAGCATTTTCTGCTCGACAAACATAGTTTCCGTCGTCTTTCTTGTTGACTTGTGTAATTTGAAGACCTCCTGTGCCGATAATGCTAAAACGACTATCTAAAAACCTGAAATACAATATTGACCACAATTTTTAATAGACATAGCTGCCAGTGGTAAATGATTTAGCTGAATTGCACTCACGCCACATCGATCAAAGCACCATCTTTCAACCACGAAATTTGGGGTCGAGGATTTCCTATAGCTGCACAATCCAACGTAGCTACCGACCCTTCTAAAGCAATGGTCGAATGTGGTTTGGCGATAAATTCTGGAGCCTTAGGCCTCTTGATAAGTTCTAAAATTAAACAGGTTAAATAGTTTTTCCATCAATACACATGTAATTTATTGATAATAAAATTTACCTTCATTCTCGTCGATTGTCAAAACACCGGGATCACTCAGCCTGTGCCTATCCAATCCAGTAACGTTACAGCGATATGCACCTGCATCGCCTTTGAGTACATCAACAATTTCTAATGCTCCTAAAAATAAACAATAAAAAGCCAAATAACGGTTAATGAAATAAAATAAATAGGTACTATTTAACTTTGATTTTAATATACCATACCCGATGGAAAAATTGTCATACGAGAAGCATCTATTATTAACGCTGAATGATCTTTAAGCCAAACTATTTTCGGCGGCGGTTGAGAGTTGATCACACACGAAAAGTGAGCAGTTTGTCCCGGAAAAAGTCTCAAATTTGTTGGCTGTTTTTCAAACGGTGATAAACCTTAAAAAAAAAAATTAAATAATATTAATTAAAAGCGAATAGTTATAATATATATATATATATATATATTATTGTACACAGGTGGAAACTCACGTGCAAGTGTAATAGTTGCAATACGACTCACGGCCGAACCAATATTATCGACGAATGCAACACATTGATATGCTTCTAGACCGTCAGACGTATTTGTTTCATCGTTGAATACGTTTTTTATAAGTAATGACCCATTGTTCAGCAAAGTTCTAAAATGAAAAATGTATTAATAAAAAACATTTTCATATAAACATTTTGAACATGTACCTTTTTGTGTCTCCAATGAAGTCCAAGTTTGGTAGATTGGGAATCCTCCATCTTATTTTTGGCAAAGTTGCTACACTATCAAATTTTGCTTCACAGTCTAACCGAACAGTTTCACCGGCAGTTGTCACAATATCTTTGGGTTCTATAATGAATTTGACACTACCTAAAATTTACAAACAACAAAATAATTAAATAAAAGTTAGTCATAAATTACAAACAAATGTTTATGAGCTAAACCTAAAAATATTGTTTATATTTTATATATAATAGCTAGCGAAAGTTCAATGTACAACTGAAATTCTATACAATCAAGTCTAATAAAGAATTTTGTAATATAAAAGATGATCTACTAAATTTTAGCCCTTTATTAGTTTTATTGTGCTACAAAATAATTTTAAACATTTTGTACCATTTAGTGAGGTATCACTATAATCATACAAGGTAATAAAATAATTAATAATTGCAAACTTATATTTAAGTATGGTTTTTTAAATGACAAATTAATCGATATTTTCACCGTTTTTTTTTTTTTTTTTATAAATAAAGAATATTAACTATTGACTATTTGAAGAAGTATAAAAAATATTAGAAGAAATTGATATCCCATCAAAAGTATAACAACAAAATTTTAATTGTTAGTATAATTAAAAACAAATATTGTTTCGTGACAATAAAAACCAGTTTAAACCACCATCTCATGAATTTTTTTTTTTGTTACTTTATCTTTCGAGATAAATCAATCTACACATAAAGCTGAGGCAGCATCCAATTTTCTAAGCTATAACGAGGCATCTCCGCCAATAAAACTAGCAATTCTGCAATCTGTGGGTTTGTGTTTAGAGCGACTTTTTTTCATTTTTACTTTTAAAACGTTTGTAACCAAAGTGTAGGATACTAGTAAAAACGTTCAAAGTATTTAATTTCGCATACATTTTTTAAAGAGCTATTGAAAATCAACTAGAAAGAACTCATTTTAAATAGTATAATTTGTATTTTGCTCTTGTGTAAAATTTCACAAAATTTGCTTGTACCCTTTTAATTTCCCACATTTCAACCATGGCAAACGTAACTTCTGGAATTGTGCATAGATTGTAAAATGTATGCTACATACGATTACTTAATTGTTATTTTTCAGATATCGAATCCCCGTTTAGACGCATAAACACCGAACGTGATCAGTTGTACGATAATGATTCTATGGTTTGATCAAATCTTACCTCGTACGGTGCCGCACAAGACGATCAGCCAAACACACAGTAGAAATTTCCATTTGACTTGCTTCCTGTCGGCGGAGAACATTGTGTCGTAACCGTAACGAGACAACTACACGGTACCACTATGACCGTCTGTCGAAGCACAATCTTTTGGCCATCGTTTCTTGAAAAGTTGCCGTAGCCGCACGAACGATGACAAAGAAAAACGTACAACGACCGCGACCACGACTATTACAATAATACTAAAACACTAGCGAGAATGGAATTTTTATCTTGGAAAAAGATTAAGACGGCTGCAATAATAATTACTCGGTCAAGCGTATTCACACGCGACTCTTTGTGTTCGGTATTGTATAAATAACAACCGTCCGCGGTGGACAGATTATTGGTGTTATTTTAGAGATTACAATATTGATATTATGTGATTTATTTAATAATATATTAAAACGCGCATAATTACACTATCGTTATGAATGAACGCGTACTGTTACAATCGAACGCTATATTATTATTATCTACAGTAGTAATTAACGATAATGATAATAATATTATGTAAATCGGAATTTCGTGTTATTATTATAATGTAATATCAAGATTCACAAGACGGTGTATAACAGTGTGTAGACGGACTGCCGTGGTGTGGGAAGTGGAAAAAAACCGATGATAAAAAACATCTTAGGCAAAAAAAAAAACAAACAACTAAGAAAACACGGTCAGACGATAGTGTGCGCATTGTGCGCGTCTGCTGCTGCTGGTAAACTGGCAGACGCCAAACGAGCGTTGCGATTGGCCGGAGCGCCCGCGGCGAGATAACGGGACGGCGGGACGGCGCAACTTGGCCCGGCCGTACACTACTTCGCCGATCCATCCCCTCCACCGCGGCCACCGCCGCCGCAGTGCGCCGTGTGTTGTCAGTTATAATGGTCGATAGGTCAATTAGACGTAACCCTGAAAATTTGAATTTTACAGTAGACGCTAAAAATATAGCGTGTGTTACCTATTGATTTTATAGACTAAATTCTAAAATTTTTAATTTGTTTTCAATGGATAGTTAAAAATAGTTTAATTGTACAATTCAATGTACTACTTGCAAAAGTAAACAGAAGGCTTAACCACTTTAAAGTGAAGTCACTCGTTGGTTACACTACCTACTTGACTTGTCAGAAAAAAAAACAGCTATTGTGGGATAATTTTGTTATTCAAGACTACCTAGTATACTGTAATAATTGGCAATTTACGAAGTGATAATTAATTATTGTAGAAAGAATTCCAAAAACCCGATAAACTACAACCGAAAACGCATTCGATGTATTTTTAATGTTTAACTTCCTAAACTTTCCAAGAAATGGAAAATAAGTTTTAGAAGACCGCGTTAGATCGTGCATTGGGATTGGATGGATCTAATTTTACTAGGAAGTAAGATAATAAAAAAAAATGTACCTAATTTGTACTTTCATGTATACATGAAAAATTCATAAAAATAAATACCTAACTAGAAAGAAAAAAGACTTCAATCGTATTGAGTTGAATTTAGCCTTTTTGTTTTTAAATAAACGGGTCATTTTAATAATAATAATATTTTATTTAATATTAATAATAATGTCACATTAATAACAATATTACAAACAATTTGGAAAAGTAACAAAATAAAAGCTTAGTTAATAGACCTATGGTTTTTATCACCAAAGTAATGGTTCAAAAAGATTCAAGTAGACTTATCACAAAGTACACTAAAATAAGAAAAATAGTGACTTCAATTTCACAAATACTTCTTTACTGTATTATTCATTATTAAACTATAAAGTACAAATAATAAAAGCAGGGACGGCGCCAAGGGCCGCCCACCCTCGCCCCCTCATAACAAATTCTTGCCCTTCTCTCGCCCCCCCAGATATTTTGCTAAAAAGTATAATTTTTAATATTTGATTATTATCCCTAAAACCCAGATTTTGAATAACTGTATTTTTATATATACAAATTTAGTTAATACGGAAATTGTGAAAACAATTGTTGTTTTGATTTAAACCTGTTTATCTATACAAATTTAGTTATTAGTTATGACATTGCCACCAAATGTGGCCTTTTTTGATCAATATATTTTGAGTGTTTTTGCAATCGGTTTTCAATAATCCGTCGCCCATATAATTATGTGTTTTGGTGTATATATATAATATTTACGTTTGTGTGTGTGTTTTCCAACAGCTCAGTGTTTATTGACGGATTGTTTTGGTTTAATAGAATGTAGGTATAACACGATAACTATAATCTCCACTGACTGGTTGTTGGGCGTTTTATAAGCCTTCATTTTTACTTCGACTTTCATATAGTACAATAAGAGCTATATGATGGCCGACAGGTAAAAATAACGCTTATTTAAAAAAGTTGCCTTACTTAAATTGTATACTAGTATATATTGTCCCTTAATCTATAATAAATTCATATTTTATACTATTTCACTCATAAATATTAAAGTAATTCACTAATAAATCATTATAATTGTTTTTTATTGACAGAAGTAGGTAAAATTATTGTGGTTGCCCCTCCAAAAAATTCACTTGACCTTTCCCGCCCCCCTAGGAAAAAAAATCTGGCGGCGTGCCTGAATAAAAGGAATCCTAGCTTTGGAAGATAGACTCGAAACTATGAAAAGATAAAATGGTAAAATAAATATAAATATTAAAAATACATTTAAAATGATCCAAATTGGCCATCACTCTTCCAGTCACAGTTCTTAGCTGAACTTAGATGTGAACGCTTATTTTTTGTCTTGAGATGAACTAATATGATGCAGAAACGGTTCTCAAATTTTTTTTAATAGGTAAATCATGTCTATTGCAATACACCTCTTATTGGGACAAAAACGTTTCATTAGCGTCGATTTTGCCCTACAAGTTCATTAATCATAGATTTAAATTATCATAGCACAATTACTAAACTTCTAATAATTGTAAATATTTTGCCTTTTAGTTTTTTGCTGACACATAACAATTGAAAAAAAAGGTTTGAGTTGACATTATCAATAATTAGTATACGATGGTTTATGATATAAGGAATGTGATGAGCCTTCAATTAGGTTTTTCCCTCTAAAGAAAAACATATTATCTTAAAAAATTGCCATTGAGGATAAGACACTCAATATGTTTTAAAATAGTTATTGCAATTTTGTAGTGTTTCATCTTGAAAATATTTTTGTTTATGTTAATTAACAATATCATAAAATTACTGAATATTTCTTCTTTTTTTTAGTATTTTCCAAAGGTCCATCAATTTTTGAAACTTAAACGCGTATATTATGTACTTAATCAACTGTTTAAATTGAGAATAATTTTCTCAACGTTTTGATTGGTCGATAACAAGTTTTGAATAGTTAATTTTTAAACTAAAGTTACTAAAATTTAAAATATATGACGGGAGAAAGGGCGGGGTGTAGTTATTATTTATATGCACTTATCCTCCCTTGAAGAAAACTTAAATATAAAAATACATTGAAGTTATACATAAAACGACCATTAAGAGGTGGTTTATAATATAGTAACGTTTAATCGATTTTCATAAAACAACAAAATTAAAACAAATTTTGTATCGCTTAAATTATTCATCAAAGTCGAAGTGGGTCACACGCGAGTTGTAATGTCATATATTTCTTACACGCATGAACTAACCTAAGAAATGAAAAATGAATTTTTTAATTCTGTATTTGAGAAAGTTGTCTTAAAAATACAATTTTATAGTTGACATTTTTTTTTTATAAACAAAAAAATGTATACATCATTTTGAAATTGATATTTTATTTATTTTTATTTTTTAATATACTTAAAGCGCACAGTATTGTGTTTTTATTTAAGTTAATTATATTATGTTTTTCTATATTATTTACTTATCATTTGGTAACCTGTTATTTTTATAAACTAAAAAAAATTTGTTTTTGCTTCGATGCAGACCGGCGAAGGTATTGGTTATACTATGATGTGTATTTTTCTTTTATCTGTAAACACTGTAACTTTTTTAATACTGGACCAATTCCTTCGAGTAACAACTCTATAAATCACAAATTTCATTTAATTGGTACTTGGGGGGGGGGGGGGGGTAAAAGTTAAAAAACTTTACTTCCTCACAGTTAAAATTAAAAAAAAACACACTAGTTTTTAATTTAGAACTTCAACTGGCTATAATTTCGTATATTTTAACAAAAACACCTAAAATCTTTAAAAAAAATGTTATCAAATCATTACAATAATTTTATGTAGATCTATGCAGAATGATACTTTTAAGTTTTGATACTCAAGTACCACTTTTGGCTTTTAATTTACACAAATTTAATTTTTTTTTTCTACTCAAGTTTTTTATGGTTGAGTAAAATTGAAAACTGTGTTTTTAAAGCCCAAATATATTTAAGATCATCACCAACGGACTCAATTACTTTATTCATAAATAAATAAAAAGAATGACAATTATTATCCACTTTATTTACTATACTTAATAATTGTATAATAATTAGACAATTAATTATTAATCAATTAATAATTAGGTATGTTTGTTTTTTTCTTTGACGCATTTATTATTTTTTTTAAACTTATAACTTATACGTTTACCCACAACCAAAAATGTCGAAAAAAATGATATTATAAATATTTTGGGATAAAAAATATTTTAATCGATGTAAACATAAAATTATAACAATAAAACAAAAGTTATTTCTAAAAAATAGTTTTAAACTAATTCGACGATTTTCAAAAGTTATAACGCGCTGTAATTTTATGTTGAAAAATTGTACTGTTTTGGGGTGTTTTCTTGATATTTAAGTGGAAGCAATACATTTTTAAAGCAACTGTATTATTAACATTGTTATCTCAACTAGAAAATTATTGTGTCCCTATATTAACCATCATTTTAGTTAGGCCAACTGTGTACTTTTTTCTAGGTAATTTCAGTTGCTCTTTTGATTTTCTGTTCGCGCCTCATTTCTGTATTAAAATTAAAAAATTTGATATAAAACTGTCTTATACACAAACATATAATAAAAACAATACATTTTTAAGAGTCTCCCAAATAACAAAACTGCATAGGTCGGCTGCATTGGGTAAACAATGTTTGTTGTCATAGACATCATCGGTCGTCATCTTGTTTATTTTCGTAACCACTAGTTATCTAATGTTTAACACTTTTCTTTTCATCATACACATAAATAATTATATTGTACTTAAACTTGTATAAAAAAAATATAACAATGAATCATACCGAGCAAAGTTCTTTTGAAAATAAATGGGAAAAAGGCATCGTCGAACGCCGCCGTGGGTGTGCTTATGACGAGGAACTGCTTGAAGTAATTGAATCTAATCCCGGCTCGGTGTCTGTTAATACAGATTGATAGATCATTAGCTTGCTTAAATCTTTCATTTTGCACATCTTTAGAGCTCAGAATGGCCTTATGTCACCGGCAGCCAACCGGGTCGTCCGGCGAAGCGCTTGAAGGTGTTCAAGGCGAGAAGAAATGAACAAGAGGACGGCGCGGTGCAAGGTGTTGTGGACCAAGTAACCGACCATTAAACAAACAAATCACAATATACTATTCATTACTAATTATTTTTGTTTGTACACAAAGCCGTCGACGAATGCAGTGGATGGCGAAGGGACTTCCAGCGAGCTGATTGCAGGT